TATGCAGCTGCTGGACGTTTCTAAGTGGTTCTCAGTCTCTAGACCATCTTTTTAAGTTATTCAAATGAAGATGGTAGCTAAGCCTAAGACGCACAATCCTTCTAGCGGATTTGCGCTTAAAGACGAATCCTGAGCAACAAGACGAACATGGGGAGAAACAACATGGGAGCATGAGCCACAGAAAAAGGAGGGAGGAGACAAGAGATATTGGATATTTTGACAGCTCGCTAAAACTCACCCTTTAAAAATCATTGCAGGGGCGACGAAGGCCATGCCGATTGGGTACGGAAAACCAGTTTTGCGTTGATTTTTAACTTCCCTTTGAATGGTTAACGGATCAGGCATGGAGGGCTTAGGCAAAATCTTGTGAAGGAACTCGCGATCCTTTGTGCTGAACAAGAGCAGATTCGGGAGGCACTTCTTCGACCTCGGAATATTCTCGCGAACCAATTGGCAATTGCAGCAATGGCACCGACAGCAGCAGCCATAGCAAAAACGTCAACATCTGCAAGTCAAGAACATGACTGGTAGCTGCAGATAGAGCTGGCGATTAAAAAAAAAAAAGATATGGAGAAGGGCAAAAAGTGGAAAATGTGGCGAACTCGGCATGCACCGAGTGATACCAATGACACTTGCCTCACGCGATACAAACAGGTTCGCATCGCTCAAAACCATAACCCTCACAGCCTCTATGCTCCATGCATTTGCAGACTGGTCACGTCTTGCTTGCGCATGCGCTCAATCCAGCGGTGACTCGTCTCCCAGAGAACGTGTGACCACTTCTTGTTCATGATGTCCATGCTCCACTTTTGAAGTTGTTTCACCTAGAGCAGAAGACATGTTTTGTGCCAGGAGAGCACATTGTTGTACAACTCCTCTTGCGTATCAGGTAATAGGTCTTGCAGCCCATGCCGTGAAGCCTCTTGCATGTCGGATGTGTCATCCGCAACTCAGCCTCGTCCTTCACCCACTCTTGTAGGCGCGTAGGACAGGTCTTACCCTCCTTGGCATAATGCTCTGGCTCATGCACTCTTAAGCTACGAAACTTCCTCGGCGCTCTGTATTCATGTGACGGTGCCTCGGGAAAGGGAGTTTCACATCCTTGTTTTTGCTAAAGGGCTGTTCAAGCGATTCCCTTTAAGATTTGATGGAACTGGAAGCCTTTCTGGTGATGTGGTGCAAACTTTCCACCTACTCTAAACCAATCAGAACTAACCCAAGACGGTTGAGAAGTTGATGGTGTGCCATGACCAGCAGCAAAAGCAGTGGACGGCCCAGCATCCACGGTGAAGGCATGGAAACACGGCCCTTCCACATTCACAGCGGGCCAACGGAGCAGTAGAGCAGTCCTTGCTGAGCACACAGGAGCACCATTTCATCACTTGCAATCAACAATGCTGAGACATGTTGGCTGTCCTAGCGGGCCGATTATGACAGACACGTAACGCGGGTCGTAAGGAGTAACCGTGTGAGACGAATGCTCGCCCTTACATGATAGCTACAGATTTGAACACTAACAATACAATGTTCCACTAAATGAACCATAAACACAGAAGGTCCTTCACGAGGGAAGGATGCTCAAGGCAACCCAACAAGGCAACATTAAATGGTCCAAGCTGATTGACACTACAGCTGTGTAGGCGAGGGCTGCTGCCATGTCCTAAATGGGCCTACAATCATCACGTCTTCATGCGCATTACCAAGAGGGAATATTTTGGCAGCTCAATGCAGCGCATTTTCACCACATTATCGCTCAATAGTGACCCACAGTACATTACGAAAAGCCCAGGGCTGACGTTTCATTTTGGGCCTCCCTGATTTCGGGAAAAAAATCCCCCCCTGTATTATGAGGGCACATTTTTCAGAGGTTTGCTACTCTGATTGGTCAGTGTCCAACAACGCATCACTCTGATTTGTCAAGGTTCAGAGCAAGAAATCGGTGTTGCAGTCAATCACACAAATTTCTCCCACGCGGATTGTACTGTACATTTCCCACTCCTCACTTCCTTGCCTGTCAAAGTCAACATAAAACACAACCACGTTGGCATTCGTGATTGTACTGTACTGAAGTCACACAGAGCGTTGGGTCAGATTACTGAACGGTTCTGAAGTTCGCCCGCCATAAAGATCTGGACAAGTGTACCCGAAAGTACACGTCAGTGTTACTTGGCACCACACAGCCGCGAATATGGCCCACAATGTGCCACCCATGCGAACTGACTGCACGATATCGCGTGGTGTCTGCGACCTTCAGCACACGCCAAAGTACAGTGCACGTTCGCCGTCAACCACAGTGTACGTACATTTGCAGACGGTGAGCGAAACACCTCGAAACAACCCCCAAAAAAATTGGCGCCAAGAACGGCGACAAAACAGCACATCGCACGAACTGGCGATGGTGTAACCCCCTTCCTCGATAAATGGGCCTGTGCTTCGGAGAAGAGATTCGCACAAGAAATTTGCCCTGTCAGAGCAAATTCGCACAAGAAATTTCCCCTGTCAAGGACACTCTGACACAAGCAGATCTGTTGTGTCAGAGGTGTTCTGCTGAAAATCCCCGCAGCACGCTGCGCCTCGCACGACACCACAAACATCCACCCCACCCCACCTTCTCCCCAAACATCCACCCCACCTTCCCATCTGGGTGTTACTTGTCGGTATTACTGTACAGAAAGGGCTCCCTCACATGGGTACAAGCGAAATCACGGCCCTGTTCTGTTGGCGCATTAGCGGTGCTCAAACCTAACGATGAACATTCTCGGAAAGCGCAAAACAAGGCTTAAAGCCCACGTCGAGCCTCCCAAATCGTTATTGTCTCCCGAACCTCTAGTGCGGGGGATGTACGCGCACTACTCATGCGTGCACAAGAACGCTGTACTCTCAGTGCGCTGAGAAAGTTCCACGAGCTTGGTTCCACAGGCAAATTTCCCGCATGGCATGTGCGAGCCCTATGCGCTCGTGGAGGGGGGATTGAAGAGGCGCACAACCAGTAACGGGCAGTTCCAAACGCACGTTTTGGGGTATTTGTTCGGTGGAATACTCACCCCAAAAACAATCCAACGGCGAGCCAGTAAGACTGACACATCCAGAGCATCAATTCGCGAAATTTTGACTTTGGAAGAGTGCTAGGGCAGTGTGTGGAGACAAATTTTCGGGCAAACGGGAAAAAAAGGTTCATAGTTTTGTCGATAAGTAAACCCTTCGACGAGGCTACAGGCCCTTTCCTCTTTCGAGGAAAACGCTGCCCGCAGTACCTGTGCTGCAGTTGCGAATGGCCTGTGCGCCAACAGAACGGCCCTGTTCGATAGGCAGCCACCTCCTTGCAGGGCTAGTATTAGGCTAGCGTTTGGAAGAGGATTCGGAGAAAGTTTTGAAGGGCTAACCACGCCCCCCCAAGATCGGAAGCAGCCCATCCCGAGATCGGAAGGAGGGGGTCGTCTCGGCGATGTTGCAACCCCTCCTTCCACCATCGTCATCGTGGGCAGGGTCCAAAATTTTACATCGCACCCCACGTGAACCTGGGTTTAGGGTTGAGGTGAAACAAAACCCTGGTGTTTGGTTTGGTTGTGGGAGGAGGGGGACTTTTTCAGGGCAGAGATGGGTGAGGTTGGAGCATGGCCCCTGCTGAGAAAACTTACGTGGGGTATGGGGTGGGTATCCCCTTCCTTTTGGAACCCTAGCCTATCCCTTGGCCAACCTCCATTTTGGGGGTGCGAGGGCTGGGCTAGAGCTAGGCTAACCTCTGTGCGTGTGAGAAGGGACTTGGAGCTTTCGGGTGGTATGATTTTGAAGGGTTAAAGTAGCGTTCGACAGGCTAACACTAACCCTTCAGGATACAGAGCGTTAAAGCCCCGTGACATCAAATTACGGGCTGACCGTGGAAAAAAACCCAATCACGAAACCACGCGACTTTTTCCGCGGAAGGGCTTGCCTGCCTATCGAACAGGGCCAACAGGGCCCATGATTACGCACATGGAGGGTTATCGGGAGGAAATTTCCGAGAACCTTTGTCCCGTTCCCTCACATTCAGGGTCCACTGAACGCGTACTCTACATTGACGGAGTCAGTAAGAACACTACTCTGACCCTAGATACAATTTTTCAGGGTTCGTTAAAGCACTATTCTGAATGGATCAGTGTTCACAAGTCAGAAATTCTGAAATTGCAGGGACCACCAGGTCTGAAGCCTGTAATCAATCACCCTGAAATCAGGGTAAGTACCCTGATAAAACCAGCCCTGGAAAAGCCCTCCAATTTGTTCCCCGTGTGTATATTATACCAACAAGAAGAAATAAATAAAAATTTACATGAAGCAGGTACAGGATAGGCGTTGGGGTTATAACAAACTAGAAGCCCCATGTGTAATTTCAACTTCTAATAATTGGCAGTTATCAAGCAATTCACTTGACTCAGTTCACAACTGTTGCTATTGCTGTCAAATGCGGAGTCTGCTGCCCTCAGTAATTACTGGTGCATTGCCAGCCTTTTTTACAGATGTGTGCATACTGTTTGCCCAAAAAATGTGCAGCTCCATTGCCTGCAAATTCTTATCCACCACCTTTTGGGCATGCATGCCCGGTGATGTGCTTGATGAAATCTCATCCATCACCACAGCCTAATGCACAAGGCACACCCTCCTAAAATCGAGCCTTTTATCATCCCATGAGGACAACACCTGACACCGCAACTGAAGGAGAGGAGAATGTTGAGGTCCTTCGTGCCACCCCCATCTCATCAGCGCCACGTCAGCCTGCTATGGGATGGATGCCGATGCACAAACTGAAGAAGGCTCTGACCGTGGCTGACACGGTAGCTCATGAAGGCATCCTGGTCTCTCGTTGTCCATTCCCCCAACCATTCTCCTGTTGACAGCTAATTATTGGCAGTGGAGGCCCTGGCGGATGGAAGGACCCTTTTTCCTTGCAGTTCACACAGAGGATTCTGGGTTGGCTGCTGGTGCTGTTGCTGCAGCTTCTGTGGTTTAGCCTGTGGCGGTTGCTGCTACTGGTGATCGTGCTGCTGACCGTTCGGCTGTTGCTGCTGGAATCGCTGCTGTAGGCGTTGTCCAACAGGGGCAGAGGGACCACACATGCCAACAGCAGTGAACTGCACGTCACTGTGCCACTGCTCGTCCATGGCTTGAAACGGGTCTTCAAACGGGTCTGCATCGCTCAACACCAAACTCCCCACTGCCTCTGTGCTCCATGCACTCGCAGACTGGTCCCATGCCGCCTGCACTGCTGTGCTACCATGCGGCTCATCCCGTGGCGGACCCAACACCGCTTCATGCACCTGTTGCTGATTCATCCCACGCAGCAGCCCTCCAGTGTGCATCAAACCATCGAGCACCTCATTCTCCAGTGCATCATATGGAGATGTCCCATGCTCTCGTGGTGGCCGTTGCTTGTCTGCATGGTCTGGCAGCCCGGGAAACATCGCCTCCAGCGCAGTGAGGACATGATGAGCCCCTTCACTTAGCTGACCCTCTTGGAAAGAATCGTCCCACGAGAAGGGTGTTGCTGAAGAACGATGTGGTGCAAGCAGATCGGAAGGTTTGCTGGCCTCTTCTGCCTCGAATACAGGTTGAGGAGAGGTACTGCAATCCAAGAGCCTGCAACTGCCGCTGCCACTGCCGCTGCCGCTGCTGCTGCAGCCACTGCTGCTACTGCCACCGCTGCTACTGCTACCACTAGCCATGGATGTTGCTTCCACTCGCACCATTGCTTGACTTAACATGCCTTGACGTGGGGGGCTACTGCGGTGAGCCATGGCTGCTGAGAGGGGCATGGCAGCAGTGATGGCCCACGACTGTAGCGGGTGTGAGGCGGTAGGAAGATACTGAGGTGGTTTCTCGTCCTGCGTCGACTGCTTCTGAAGCACCAACTGTTGGCGTTGTTGCTCCTGATGCACCTGCTGCTCCACCTGCTGCTGCTCCTGCTCCTTCTGCTGCTGCTGCTGCTGCTGCTGCTGCTGCTGCTGCTGCTGCTGCTGCTGCTGCTGCTGCTGCTGCTGCTGCTGCTGCTGCTGCTGCTGCTGCTGCTGCTGCTGCTGCTGCTGCTGCTGCTGCTGCTGCTGCTGCTGCTGCTGCTGCTGCTGCTGCTGCTGCTGCTGCTGCTGCTGCTGCTGCTGCTGCTGCTGCTGCTGCTGCTGCTGCTGCTGCCCCCGCCACCGCCATTCCCCCTGCGTCTGTGGTGACTGCATTGACGCAATTGGAAACTGGAGCTGTGAATGAAGTGGGTGAGGCGACTGGAAAAAAAAATCCAAATCTTCTATGCGAAATTCCCCGTCAGATTTGATTTCAGTTCCAAAATCCATTTCCTCCTGCGCTATTCCCTTTCCAGTCACGGCCTCTAAACCTCCACTGTTCACCTCTTCCAGAAAAACGTCCTCCTGCCTGCATTCCTCCTTCACACCAGCACCAGCACCAGCACCAGCAACAGCAACCAGCATGCTGTCTATGCCCTTTGTGAAACGCCCATCGTGCTCCAAGCCTGCAGAACACGGCTCTCTGGATAGAAACATGGCCGGAGGGATGGAGAGAATGGATGCAGGCGCGGAGGCAGACGAGGTGGAAGGGCCAGCTCTGCTCGAGCTGCTTCCACTGACTGTGCTGCTGTCTGCGCATGTCGTGAGCCCAACCACGTCCGTGTCCGATATCGCTTGTGCTGTAGCTTCAGCTTTGCAACCTGCTGTCTGTGCAACCATAGCAATTGCCTCTCCATACGCACTTTGCCAAACTCTGTTTTCACCCAATCGCCCAGCTGCCCCCTCTGCCACCGGCTTTCCTTGCATGACCTGCTCGGCAGATATCCTCCCCTCCAGGTTACAAGTCGGTTCCATAATTTTCTCTGCAGATGCTTCCTCATTCTTCATTATCGCTCGTGCTGCAGGTTCCTGCCCTGCGGTTCCTTCGCCCCCCAGAATCAGCTCTGGAAAGTTAAGCTTTGTCTTCTTCCCTCGAATCTGCACCGCGGCTCGATCAAACGCCATGGCAGCTTCCTCTGCAGTGGCAAACGTCCCCAGCCACTTGCGCACGCCGAAAGTCGTGTCTTTAATTTCGGCGATGAACCGACCCTCGCCTCGCTTCCTCACTCCACGGTACTTCCCTGGTTGGGTATAGTTCCGGCTGCGTGTGGTGCGCTTGCGTGTCGTCTCCGATTCAGATTGCCTTGCGACATCTTTTGTGACGGCTTGCGTCTGACCCTGCAGAAGAGGCTGTAGCTGCGCAGACAATTGGTCCAATCTGATCTGGGCTTGTGGTTGCTGCACTGAATGAGCCTCCAATTGTAGCTGTGGCTCCTGCTGCTGTTGAATCTGCTGTTGCAGAGTGTCTTGCACCCATTGTAATTGCGGCTGGAATGGCAGGTGCCCTCTTGGAATTGAAGCCGAAGCTGATTCAGGGACAACCTCAGGTTTGGACTGACTGTAGGGCTGTGTCACCAGCGGTGTTTGCCCATGGCCGAACTGGTCAGCTCCCAAGGTGGTAAGCAGCTGGTGCATGTGCCCCTGCCGCTGCCCCTGTCCCTGCCCCGGTTTCTGTTGTTGCTGCTGCTGCTGCCCGTTCCACTGCCCCTCCTGCTGCTGATCATGCTGCTGCTGCTGCGGCTGCGCTTGCATAGGCATCTGCTGCTGCGCGTGCCCCTGCCCCTGATGCTGCTGCTGCTGCTGCTTCGCCGCCTGCTGCGCCAACTGTTTCCACCCCGAACCCCAGGGTGGGGTCCCGGAGGCTAGTATCGCAGGTAGTGCAGCCTTCATGCTATCTCTGTTCACGTTCAACGCGCTAATACCATTGAATGCTGTCAGAGAGCTTGCCTCCATGATGTGCTGCCGCGTGCCACGAGGGTGAGCCTCCAATGACCATGACGGTGCTGCTGGATCGCTCTTGTTTTGTTGGTCGTATAAGAGCTTTCGGTCCTCTTGCCGCGCGCGCTGCATCGCTCCAGCAACTTGATTTTGGCGCTGCCCGTCAGCGTGGGGGCCAGGCTGCGTTGGCACACGCTTCTCGTCCATGCTGCATTTATTGATAACTGAATTGGTGTTTCGGCCCGCAATCATGACTGAGATCTATTTATTTCGAAGATGTCGGGTTATACAACGTCTACCTTACGCTTCGACTTCGCATGTGTGCATGAGATCCGCCGCGTTAATACAGGCGACGCGACTGACTCGCAGCTACTGCCGCGTACTCCCGGATACGCACCGGCGGTGATTTTTGAGTCCGACTCAAAATTCTACTTAGAGCTAGTAACTGTCCAATTGGCTGGTGAGAGTGAAACAGAAGTGCTGCGTTGAGTCGTGTCTCCACCGCGTGAACGACCAGTACCACTTTCAGTCAAAACTGTGTTGACTAGTAGCACTTGGAGCACCTGTTGACTTAGCTCTTGGAGTACCTTTTGATGGAGCACAGATTGGCCTTCCCGTGTGGAGGAAGGTTTTAGACAAGGATGGTTGTGAGGGGGGGTCAGAGGGAGGGAGTGTTGGGTACCTTGAAATGGTTCAGGATGGCAGGTCTTTTTCCCTGTTGGCCTTCATTTCAGAGTGAGTTTTGTACACCATCCTAGAAATACATTATTCGCGAACTGTACCACCCTCTTTGGGGGCTGGACTTAACAGTAGAAACTACTTTTACCGGTCCTTCATGTCTTGTGCATCCACCCACCCCCCTGGCTAGGGACATACGTACCAAACCCTCTCTCCCACGCAACCCTCCCTCACTCATTCCGTTTTCCATTTCTCGACCTTTCGGTCGCAGTCCCGGTATGTTCATGTGAAAGAAAAGCGGCATTCATGTGTTCGCTAAAGCTCCGCGCCTGTAACAAAGAAGTAGCACAGAAAAGCACTGAGTAGTTACTTTGGGTCCAGACAGGCGGAAGGCCGAACTCGGGCACTGATTCGGGAAGCTACTTTTCAAGATAATGACTGCAATAGTGTAGGATTAGGACATAGGATGTTTTTGGGCTTTTTCTGTAAATGTTTTGCGGCCCATTGTTTTCCTGGAGCCTTTTTGAAACCGTGCCCCGAGCAGAGCCGATACAGTGCACCGCGAATTGCACACGCCGTTATTCCTGCCTGCCAATTCAAACTGTAGTTCGTTGTGGAAGTTCCTCTGATTTTGTTATAAATTTCCAAGCAAGCCACGACATTTAGTCTACCCGGACTTCCCAAACAAGCAACCCATCTGTAGGGCGAAATGGGGCAAATATATTGAACCTCTCAAGTGGTGGGTCGCCTCCCCCAAAAATCGTGTTTACACGTGTCCACTTTGTGCCATTTTGCCAGTATGCGCCACTATCCCACCACAGAAGGGCGTGTCAGCTTCACTGTGTTGCCCATTTACGAGGCGCCGCCAGCACCAGCCGGATTGAGCGCCGCACCCGTTTCATGGCCCGGCCTAGATACCTGACAGGCAGAAGTTGAATGATCGGATTGGGTAAGAGGGTTTCAGCGGCAAAAGTCAAACTATTCTTCACCAATCAGATGGCCGAACAGTCTTCACTAGCACTTGCACTGGAGTGCACAACACACGAGTCCCTCACTCCCTGGTCCTTCGCGTATTATTCAGTCACTGTGACAAACTACGGGCAGGAGAAATTGCAACACACTACAGTACAGTGCGAACAATTCAGATGGTTTCGTGGATCGTCGTGATCAGTGAATACGAAGAGCAACTGCACAGGCAACAATGCTGAGCCGGCCATTTTCAGGTGCATGCCGCTTAGCCTAGGAACGCTTCTCAGGTGCATGCCAGGTTCGTACAGATGTCTCAGGTTATTAAAAGTCACTTGTAGTTTCACACGAATTCGAATATTCGATTCGAATTAGCACAAACGGTATGAAACAGATGCAATTTCGGTATACGCAAATCGGAAACGAAACTGGTTGGCTCCCGAAGCTGAATTTCTGACGTCACTCAATGTAATGATTTCATTTTTCGCCGAATTTACGGAAATTTCTGCTTCGTACCAGCTGTTTTTCAGCAAATTATAATGCTGAATCGTTTGTACTGTTGGCGCAGGTGGCGGACGTTTTCGCGGGTCAAATCAACAAACCCTAATGGGACGTGCATTAGTTGGAAAGGGTAGCCTGAAACACGAGAAATCTGCCCAAGTGTTAGAAGAGTTGCCCCTACCGCTATTAAGAATATACGGTACTGTACATATGTAGCTGTTGCCACGTAATTAACGGCATGGAATTCCACCTATTACAATGTACATGTACGGAAAAATATTCTGGTAGGGGCAAATTTAAAAAACATCGGGCATATTTTCCTTTTCTAATTTGTGCACACCCAAAATAGGGTTTGCTGATTTGCCCGTCACGTCACCTGCGTCAATAGTACAACAGATCTATCATTATAATTCGTTAATAAAAACATTGTTGCGAATCGGAAACATGCGTAGAAATTGGGCAAAAATGCAATCATTCCACTGAGTGACGTCAGAAAATGCAGCATCGAGAGCCAATCGATCCGATTCCGATTTGCGCGTAGTCCGAAATTGCATATAATTTAGACATATTGTGCCAATTCGAATCGAATCTTGGAAATTGTATGAAATTACGAGAGTGATTTTTTAACCTGAAACAGCTGTACTCACCTGCCCTATCTCCTGGCATGCACTTGAATAGCGTTCCTAGGCTGTGCGGCATGCACCTGAAAATGGCCGACGCTGAGCTCAAGAAAGTTCTGTACACTTCCAGACAAATCAACTGTATCCCCTGGAAGAAGTGGCTGGATCGAAACGTTCGGTACGTGAGGTTGGTCAGAACGTCAACTGTACAAAGCAGGAAAATTATCCTCCCGACAAACGGATTTGAAATGTTCACGAAAATCATCTTCCCTGTCCTACTGGAGTATGGGGTGACGATCATCAGAAAGTGTATTTGAAACACGTTTAGGAAATCACGAATGAACAGGATGGAGTTCATAACCAGTGCTATAAGGACGTGGGCCCAATCGACTTCGATCGGTACGATGAGAGGCGATCGAAGACTTCGAGGAGGGCGTGAAGCAGATTTCAGGCAATCGGGGGCAATCAGCTGATCGCGATCAGCTGATCGCGCCACCTCAATCAACCGCCTCAAACAGCCTGATCAGACCCGATCAGACACAATCAGCCCCAATCACTTGATTGCATGTGATCGGCGACCTGGGCGACGTACGCGAAATGTAGCACACCTCGCCATTATGTCTCGAACATCTTTGCGAATAAACCCAGATCCGCGAGAACTGTGTGTTGGGACATGATGTTGGCGACATTACCACGATACTGAGATTCATCCGTATCGCCAAAGTTGGGATGCAACTACCAGGTAATGGGCCGACAGTTTTCCTCCAAGAGCGCAAAACATTCGAGGAATATCATCTCTGATCGGGCGGCGCGAGAAAAACGATCACAGCCAATCCGAACCGACCCAAACCGATCCGATCAAAGCCGATCAAAGTCGATTGGGTCCACGTCCTAATTGCACAAGCGCGAAAGTATCACCCGTGCTTTCTGTACACGACTTGAGACCCGAATTATCAAACTGGATTGTGGGTAGATTGGATCACGAAAGAAAATGGGTTGCAGACGCTCACGCAGCCATGATGCGGTGGCACGATGAAACATGCCAAATCACATCGTAGCAAATTCGCGCATTTACTGTACGTCATCACTTGTCGTCAGCACCGCCAAAGCAACATGTTCGGACTAGTTTGTCAGTGGAGTAGTTAGTTTAGCAGCTTTTGCTCCTCTGGAGTGTATTCTTCTCGCTTGAAAAAAACATTCGAAGTTCCGGTATTGGAACAATGAAACCTCTTATTTGAGATTACAAGTACAGTACACAGCACATCATCTGAGACATGACATTTTTATATAAGTCCCAACCGGAAATCATAAACAAGCTGTGGCGGCACAATGATACAGCCGGCCTGAGCCGGCAAATGTTTACAAACCCACCAAAAGCGATCTTGGCGGGACGTCCCACAACCGTCCAACAAGATTTCAAGC